GGCTCATCATCAGCTCCAGCATCTCCCCCTGCCGCCGCTCCCTGGTCAGTGCGCCGCCGCTTGCTGGCAACCCGAGCCAGGTGCTCACGATGCGCATCTCGGGCCGCTTTGGCAGCGGCCACCAGGGGGCCCAGCAGGTCCTTAGCGAGCCTGGAGACGCCAGCGTTGAGGTCATCCTTCCTCTTGGCGATCTCTTCGCGGTCCTTATCCTCGAGCTCGGCGTCGCCCTCGAAGAAACTGACCTCGATCACTGTGAGGAATGCGCCCAGGTCGAAGGTGTCAGCGCACAAGTCTTCCAACTTGAGCTTGGCAGGGGCTGGCGCAGCGGGGGCGGGGGCCACAGACGCCTGCTGCTGCAGCTCGGCCACCAGAGCCTTGTACTGCTGATCGGCTGTGGCCAACTCTTCACGCATGCTCCGCACCGTGTCCTCAAGCTTGGCGATGTCGTTCCTCCAGCCCAAAAGCTTGTCCACCCCCCTGTCCAGCGCCTTCTCCAGTCGAGCCACCGCGGCGAACTGCTGCTGCACACGCTGGTGGAGGGGAGTGGGAGGCTTGGGCGACTCCAGTGCGTGCAGCTTCTTGAACTCTGCCTCATACTTGGATGCTGTGGTAAGGTCCCCTCCTTTCCGCGCGAGATCTGCCAGCTGCTTGGCCTCATTCGCATTGAGCTGGCTCTGGGGCCCGACGGGGAGAGGGGGTGCCTTGGCGGCAGCGCCTTCAGGATGCCCACCTCCGTGCCCAGCTCCAGCGGGTTGTCCAGGACCTCCAGGGGGCCCAGGGTAAGGACGCGAGTGCATGGCCCAAGGTGCCGCGGAGAAGACGCCAGGAGGGGCCTGCGACCACGCCCCGCTCTGTGGGGCTCCACCTTCGACTGGACGCACAGCAGCAAGAGGAGTCCCACAATGCTTGCAGTAGCGGGCCGCCTTGGGGTTCTTCGCACAGCCACAGGAGCTGCACTTGAACTTGGAATATCCTTCTGAACTTTTGTCCGGGTACATGTAGGCGCCGTAGTGCCACGGGGGGGCGGCCGTGCCGCTGGACCAGTCATCACGACCACGTCCTTTGCCACGCCCGACTCCTTTAGCACTACCATTGCGCAAAGCAGGCGGGGGTGTCATACACCCCGAGTCAATCATTGAGAAGATCCGAGCCAGAAGGCCCGTTGACGCAGTGTGCCGCTCTGAAGTTCGCGTCAACAAGCACAAAACTTGTGCCAGAACGGCTGGAGGAGGAGGAGGAGGAGGAGGAGGAGGAGGAGGAGGAGGAGGAGGAGGAGGAGGAGGAGCAGGAGCAGGAGGAGGAGGAGGAGGAGCAGGAGGCGTCACAGCTCCCCGCCGCGGGTCGCGGGCGCCTCCCGCGGCGGCGGCTCGCGGAGCTCGCCGCGCCACGCGGCGCGCGGCAACGCGGGGCGCACGAGCTCCCGCATGGCGGCCTCCGTGCGGGCGCGCGCGGCCGCCAGGGACGCCTCGCGGCGGGGGGGGCGCGCCGGGCCGGCCCCCCGCACTCCACGCCCGGCTGGGCGCCTCCGGGGCCCGCGGGGGGCCCAACCTCCTCCCCCTCCTCCCCCTCCTCCTCCTCGTCCTCCACAATTACTCAATATGAAGACTACTCTCCCTCTTCCCCTGATGGCGGCTTGAAAATATTAGCCCCCCCCGCGTATTTTTTCTAACACACAAGATTCCCCGGAGTTGGGCTTTCGCCTGCAATTTTTCCAAAATGCTGGTCTCGCTGAGGCGCCGGCCTCATTTTCGGGCCCCGCTCGTTCCGAATCGTGCTCCCGCTGCAGCGCTGGCCTCATTTCAGTGCTTCCGCTCGTTCCGAATCGTGCTCCCGCTGCAACGCTGGCCTCATTTCAGTGCTTCCGCTCGTTCCGAATCGTCCTCCCGCTGTAGCGCTGGCGTCATTTCCCGTGCCATGCCACGGCATGCAATGCAATGCTAGGTTGATGCTATGCTTTACGGTGCTCTTCTACGCCATACCATGCCGTGCTCTACAATGCATCGCGTACCCTTTCGGGATCATTGCCCTGCTCGACATCCGACTGTGCGAGTAGAGGGGGATCTACGCCATAGTAAGGGATGGGAGGGAGGGGTAGGATGTCAGATATGACGCGAGCGCACCTAGCTTGCCCTCCTCCCCCTCCTGTTCCTCCTCCTCCTCCTGCTCCTCCCGCTTCTGCTCCTGCTCCTGCTCCTGCTCCTGCTCCTGCTCCTGCTCCTGCTCCTCCTCCTCCTCCTCCTCCTCCTCCTCCTCCTCCTCCTCCTCCTCCTCCTCCCCCTCCTCCTCCTCCTCCCAACTGGCCGTTTTGGCTCGAGACTCACGGGCCTCCCTCGTGGGTCCCGGCTCTACAGGCTTGAGGACGAGGGGCAAGGGCAGCCCTTTCCAGAGGCCTGGCTCCCTCGGCCAGCTTTCCAGCATCGCCGCCTCCGCGGTCCGCAGCCGCAGCGGTCGGGCGGTCCGCAGCCGCCATCTGCTTCGTCCTCTCGTACAGCCTCGGCGCAGATGGACAGGTCATGGCTCCAACCAAGGGACAACGCCAATACGTCCTCTGCTCTCGCCAGGGATTCCAGGGCTGGACCTACCTGGACAGGAACAATCAAGTCTGCTCCAAGTGTGGCTCCACGCTCGAGTACCCAGGGAAGTCAGCAGGCAACATGAAATCGAATCGACCTCAGTCGGGCAAAAACGGCGGAGGAGGTCAGCGGAACCAAGGCGCAAGCGGAGGCAGAAACCGTTGGACGAGGGTCTGTCGCATCAACGGCCAGCTCGATATCCAAGGCAGCCCTCCCCGATCGCAATCGGACGCCCCAACGCAGACCGACCCAATATCCGCTTTCCAAGACCTAGTCAACTTCTGCTAGACCCGCGAGGGCACAGGGGGTATGATGATGCCAAAGCTGGCATCTCGCTAAAGCAAACCAGGACAGCCAACCGCCATTTCGGAAACATCTATGGAAAAGCAATGCCAGCCTTTCCGCGACCAGGAATTCTCCGCCCAAGACATAATCAAGAAGTATTCCGAGCAGATCAAGGAGTGCGTGGATCAAATCTCAGAGCTGGCCGACAGCACATATGAGGCGGACCAGGCCGCCACCACCACGGAGCTCGCACAACTAAGAACCCAACTCACCGTCACCGTCCGCGCCGCAGCGGACCAGACGGCCCCGTTGGAGCCGCACCCCTTCTTCGCGAAGGTCAACAAGTTCATGGATCAGCGCAAAAGAAAGACCCGCCTCGGGACCCCCCAGGACATCCAGGATCGCGTCGAGCTCGCATCAGCCTACGATTAGGCAGCCCCCGCGGCCGCCCCACCGGTTGACGCGCCAGCGTCGCCAGCCCAGCCGCCCGCCTCAGCAACTGCTGCTGCTGCTGCTGCCAGTGCCGCCGAACCCGCACAGCCAGGGCAGCCTGAGCAGCAGCAGCATCGGCAGCATCAGCAACAACCAGCCTCAGGGTCCCTAGCGGGTCTCAGTGAGACCTCCATGGACGAGCCTGCCAGAAACAAACGCGGGCATAAGGACGCAGCATCAGCCCTCGAAAAAGTCAACCCAGCCATCAGCAGCTCAGGGGAGAGAAGGAACCTCGCTGCGAAGAAGCTCAAGAGCCTCGCTGCTGCAGCCACAGCGGGGGAGGGCAAAGGGTCGTCAAGGTAACCCCGATCCGCAGTCTACTCAAATCGTCACGATCGATAGCAGCTGAGGCTGTCAAAATTTTGGTCTCGTCGACATTATCCGAGAACGTCGCCGCCAAAAGCTGTCAAGAGTCTCGTCCCTTAGGGGTTCGTATCATAGCCGCCATGCAGCGGTGCCAGAAAGCGGGCTGGCAGTCTGTCATGCCGGCATTTCACTGTGATTCACCAGCGAAACTAATGAACCGATGGCGGGGGCAGCCGTCCTGATTCGTGCAGGATTCGACTTCGGAATCCGCCCAGCAGCTCCACCTCCTCAGATCCTCCCAGCATGATGTCAGCAGATATATTGGAGCTCCGAGGTCACTCGCACATCAATATGCCCCCCATCTACTTTGCAGACTCAGCAGGCCTCAATCAGCAGAACATTGACCTGCTGGCGGCCATCGGATGGATGCAGAGCCACAACAGCATGCCAGTGCTAGCAGCAGGAGGCTTCGACATGCCCCACTCAACGGTCAGAAAAACCAGCCTGACGGACCGAGGACATTATTGTACCGTCAGCTCCAGAGAACCCACTCATTTCACAAAAAAGAGCGTGTCAAAATTGGACTATTTCATCGTCAGCAACATCCTTTGGCGATTCTGTCAGTAACGTGAAATTTCCGACGGACTACACGCTGTCGCCGCACCGCACAGGTCGTCGCTCAGTTCCAGATCGGGCAGAACCTCCTGCTCCCCAGACTGGCCAAGCCCCAGCAGCTCCGTACCAGGCGTACAGTTGGCCCCTCACTTGAGCCCCAAAAGTGGACCCGATCAGCCTCAGGCCCTGGACTCCGCGTTCGACCTCCTGATCCTGGACCTGGAAGGCTCAGTTGCCAAGCAGACAGACACCCCACTTAGATGCAGAGGCACAACATGCCAGACACCACAAATCGTCTGGGTCTCCGATCGAGCTGGAGAATTCCAGCACAAAGCAGGATGGCAATCGTATGCTCGGCCGCTTCGACGGCTGAACAACAAAGTCCAAGGCCGCGCTGACGGTGTGCTTGGTTAACTGAACGGTTGGGAATTTTGTTTTTGCGACACCGAACTCACGCAAAACAAACTAGGACATCACGACACACCGGTTCCTACATTTCGAATGTGCGAACGTATAGAACGAAAACGACACAGCGAGTTGTAATAAAACACGAACCATGCTCCCCTACGATTGATTTAGCCGCGAACCACGCCTTCCTACATTTGGATGTCCTGCTTCGCCGTTAACTCACACTCCGTTAGCGCGTCTACGGAAAGTGTAAAACGTCCAAAATGCGGTTTGCCTGCTGGCCTGCGAGATTTACGGACAGCTCTGCCGGACGCGCCCCAGGAGTTCCAGACAGCCCTGGATTGGCCGGCAGCGCTCACCAACTTTCGTCAGTTCCTTGACGCCCTCCTGCTGGACATCCAGCAAGATGGCATGCAGGCGTCCAGCCAGCGCGCGCAGATTACCTTCGATCGGTTGCAGCAGGAGGTGACCAGCTTCCTAGACCAGGAGCGCTCTCGGGAAGCACTCCAGTCCACAACGGCCCAGCAGCAGCGGGTTACAGAGCAGACGCCCAAAGGAGTCGGCGGGGCCCACAGATGGACCAAAGACCTCAGCAGTTGGCAGCCCCAGGAAGTCAAGGCCAAAGACTGGCCCAATGATCGGATCGCCTACCCGAGCTCTGGCAGCTCCAAGGAAACCCTCTCCCCAGATACCCAGGCCACCCAGAAACTGCCGCCGCACTCCCGCCAAAAACCACCAGAGGCCCTCAGGAAAGCCGCCAGGACTTTCAGCCAACTGTCCAGCCAGACGTAAGACGGAGTCCACCCGAAAATCTTCAACTTCCAAGGCCGCGCTAACGGCGATGTTGGTTAACGGCGAGCTCGTGCAGAACAAATGGTAGGAAATCACGAACCACACTATCCTACATTCCAAACGTGCGAGTGTATCGATCGAAAACGGCGCAGCGAGTTGTAAGAAAGTACAAACCACGATGTCCGACAGTTATTTTGGTCACGAACCAGTCCCAACTACAATCCCGAAGCCTGCATCGCCGTGACCTACATCGCCGCCAGCGCGTCTACGGAACTTGCTCATAGATGAGCACCTCCAGGACCTCGCAGACTTCCATGCGTGCGTCGAGCAGCCCGGATCCGTGCCCTCCCAACCGTCCTGGCCTACTCCCTCCACAGTTACTCAATATGAATACTACTCTCCCTCTTCCCCTGATGGCGTGCTGGGAGTAGCCGACCCCCCCCGCGTATTGTTTTTTACACAGGATTCCCGGGAGTTGGGTTTTCGCCTGCGTTTTTTTCAAAATGCTGCTCTCGCTGAGGCGCCGGCCTCACTTCTGCTCCCGAATCGTTCCGAATCGTGCTCCCGCTGCAGCGTGGGCCTCATTTTCGGATCGGTGATTTGCCTCCGTCGTTCAGGATGGCGTTCCCGCCCTAGCGCGGGCCTCTTTCTCGCGCGCCCATCCGCCCGCCACCACCGCGCCGCACCACGCCCCGCCCCGCCGCACGCACACCCACCGCCACTTCCACCCACCAACGCACGCACGCACGCAAGCGCACCACCACCACGCACCGCCACCACCACCGCACTACCCCACTCACCACCACCACGCTACACCGCGTCACACCACATCACACGCGCGCACACACAGACACACACACACACACACGCACGCACACACGCACGCACGCACGCACGCACGCACGCACGCACGCACGCACGCACGCACGCACGCACGCACGCACGCACGCACGCACGCACGCACGCACGCACGCACGCACGCACGCACGCACGCACGCACGCACACACGCACACACACACACACATACATACATACATACATACATACAGACACACGCACGCACACACACACACACACACACACACACACACACACACACACACACGCACACACACACACACAGACACACACACACACCACCACCGCCACCACCACCACCGCCATCACGCAGGTACGCACCTGGCCCACCACCAAACCACCAAGACGCCACACCACGTCACACCTCAGCACACGCGCACACACGCACACACACACACACACATACACACCACCACCACCACAACAACCACAACCACGCACACACGCATGCACGCACGCGCACCACCACCCACTACGCACACGCGCGCGGAGCCACAGGTCCGCTACGACACGCGTCCGCGGATAGAGAAAATCAACGCCATGGTAAGGGATGGGAGGGAGGGGTAGGATGTCAGATGTTGACGCGAGCGCACCTAACTTGCCGACCCCCCCTCCCCTCCTCCCCCGACCCGCCCCTGCCAACCACCCTGACCTCCTCCCCCCACCTCCCCCTCCCTCTCCCCCCCCCCTCCCCTCCCCCAAATCCCTCCCCCCCCGCTGGGGGAGGCGAGGGAGGGAGGGAGGCATGGAGAGCAGCGCCCTGGCCATCCTGGCCGACCTCGTCCCCGAGCGGCAGGCCCCGGGAAGGCCTGCCTGCACACGGGGGGGGGGTCGTCGGCCTGCGTCCCGGGGCGCACCAGGCTCGGGCCAGAGCCGGACGCAGTGAGGCCAGGGGGCGGGAGGGCGAGAGCACATTTTGGACTGCGTCCTGGGGCGCATCGGGCTCGGGCCAGAGCCAGGCGCAGCGAGGCCAGGAGGTGGGAGAGCGAGACCACACTGGTTCGTCGGCGGCGGACTCCGCTCCAGCGAGAAACTAGATCGGCGGCACGAACCAGCGAGTTGGCCGGCGAGCGAAGAGGGAAGGGGGGACGGCCGAGAGGACGAAGGGACGCTCGGACGCCGAAGAGTTCGACGAGGAGAGCGAGAACACATGCAGCTTCTTAGCGCACCAGGCAGGCCGCAGTAATTTTAGAGCTCGTGTTCCATCAGTTTCTCTTCGCCGACCGAAGGGCTCTCCAGGAAGATCCAGCACGCGAGGGGGTCAGCTCTCTGGGGCATGACAAAATAAACCACTACGAGCACATCAGCAGAGCAGCGCTGCGAGATAGAGCCAGCTGCGGCAGCTTCAACGGAGCCATCCTTGCAGTCATCCCCAAACAGTACCAGGCACGCAGATATCTCACATGCAGCCACATCATACAGTACTGCGGGCTCCCGTTCAGAACATTCCAGCTGGTTGTTGTGCCTCACCAGACCTTGCCCACATGTACTGCAAGCAGCCCTTGCAGAGCTGGGGACAAGCTCATCCCGACGTTCAGCTCAGTCTCTTCATAGATGACATGTTGCTGCAGCTGCTTCCACAAAGGGGCAGCTTGTGAAGTTGTTGCTGGACGCGTGCTTTCAGTGGCTAGCAGCCATCAAACATGATTGACAATGTCAGGTCGCCAGCGAAGTCGGCCGTACTTGCCTCGTCCAGCGACGTCCAGAAGCGCCTCGAGAACGACTTTGGTAAGTACGCGGGCCCCAGACAGCGGATCTCTATAGCCATACCTGGGAGTAGACTTCAGATCAGATGTGCCAAACGTCGAGGTCTATCGAACTCGACCTCGAGAGCCAAACACGCCAAACTGCAGGCCCCATGCTGAAGACTCGCCACCCTCAAAAGAGCCCAGGGGGAATGCGGGAAGATCTACAACACAAGCCTAGGTCAGGCTCACTTCTACAGGAGCAATGTCGCGGGGATAGACAACATAGAGCTTCGCAGGTCGCAGGCTCTCTAACTGAGGATCGCGGGCACAGGGAACCCGACTCGATCGAGAAGTTTGGCACTCTGTCCTAGGAGATCCCTGCTGAAGACCAGCGATGGGTCCAATACTGTCGCCGAGCCAGATGGTCAGGAGAGCCGCAACAAAAAGCACAGCGGCAGCAGGCTTCCACTGGCCGAGCCCGAGGCGCATGGCCCGAGAGATCCTGGGCCGCCCGCCCGAGGCTTGGAGCAACTGCCGAGGACAGCCGGGCGTCGCCTACCGCAACCTCCAGAGGATCCGCTGGGTCTTCCCCTCCCCCCCCCGCTCGGGTTTCGGGGCCGCAAAGGGAGCGGGCACATCCCGACCAGCACACCCCCGAGCCTCATGCAGGACCTCCCGAAACAGTCTTGGGGGGAGAGCCTCCTCAATAAAGCAGCCAGAAGGCCTGGCCTCGACAGGGCCATCCCAAATGTCACGGTTGCCCAGAAGAGCCTCACCGCCACCTCCGTCACTAAGGCCGAGACATCCACCCTCCTAGCCTACCTATGCCACGCCATATGGACGCACATCAGGAACATATCAGCACGGCACGAAGTGCGGCCTGGATGCCATGAAGTGCTGGTCGGTGGACCCCGCGGCGGCCCTCCTTGGTAAGAAATCTGGGGTCGTTGGTTTTGTCTGTGTATATATACGTATATATACATTTTTTTGTTTAAGGCCCACGTCTCAGCCGGCTGGGCGGTTGTCAAGACCAACGAAGCTGGCGAGGCCACCGTAGCCCTAACAGGCCAAGTCGGCCGATGCCTCCCTGAAACCTCCCCCGCTGCTCAGCGCTGTGCTGTGCTTGCTGCCCTCTCCTCCTCCCCCTCGTTCTCCTCCTCCTCCTCCTCCTCCTCCTCCTCCTCCTCCTCCTCCTCCTCCCCCTCCCGTATCAGTGAGATATATCATTTGACGACCAGGGCTCTACAAATTCGTATGCCCAGAGCTGTCTCAACGTAACAGATGCGCTGGGGTAGGACCCTTGGCGCGAGCAGCCATAGACTGGCACCCGCCACAGCGGTTTTTGAACGTCAAAGCCCACCAAAGCCTCGGCGCCCATCACGTAGGATCGGAACACTGGGCCGCCGCTCAGGGCAATCACGGGGCCGACAGATTTGCAGTGCTCGCCTCGAGAGCTTTCAACCACCCCTCGGACGCGGAAGTAGACAGCCTGGCCACAGAGACTGGCCTTCGTAGTGAGTGCATCTTGGCTGTTGCCAGGACCCTCCACGACTGGCCTCCACTCGAGCCCATCACTTCCTAGAAAGTCTTTTGGCAAGCCCGCCAAGTTCCTTTTCCCCCGCCCGTCGATACGGCTTCTATCCTGGAGGCTTGCACGCCGCCTGGGGATTTAGTTCCACCCCCGCCGACGCCTACCGAGGCTCCCCGCCCTGTCAGAGAACGACCGGAGCACAAGTGGGAAGCGGCAAGGACTCGCTTTCTGGGCACCGGCCGCCGCGAGAGAGCGGCCGGCAAGAACACTGCACAGTGCCTCGGGCATGCGCCCAGACTAGCTTCGCTTTGTGCACGCCCCCGAGGCCACCAGATATTCGTGCGCGTTGCTCACAACAGCGGCTCGTTCATTGTTTGCTGCTCCAGACGAATCGAGCCCCCGCTGCCTCGCCAATGGATGCACTCGACGTTTCGCGCGGCCGGGTGACAGGACCCAGCGGCCACTCATCCAAAGCGGGAGGCACCCCAGGAGCTGTTTTCAGGCGCCCATCTTTTGCGAGGCGCCCACCCCGCGGCACCTGTACCTCCAGCGCCAGGCCCAGGAGCTGGCGGAGGCGGAGGCCCACCCCCGAGACGAGGGAGAGGCTCCAGCGGAAGTAGCAGCAGAGGCAGAGTAGTCAGAGGAGAGCTGACCCACCCCTTCCGCGCGACGGTCCTTCTCCTCCTCCTCCTCCTCTCATTCCTCTTCCTCCTCCTCCTCCTCAGGACCTCCTCGCGTACGCGACGGGAGATGTTTGGTCGAGCTCGACGTTCGACCGATGCGAGCTTTTACTGGGCCACGGGGCTGTCCAGAGACGACCTGGGCGGACTTTCTTTGAACTCGAGGCCCTCTCTGCCAGACCCTCCACAGGGCAAAGGCAGGTGATGGCAGCGCTGTCCAGCCGAAGCTGGAATCCCCTTGCCAAAATTAGGTCGGCGGTGGACAAACCTCCCTTTAGTAAATCTCCCCTAAGTGAAACGGCCTGGGACCGAAACCGACGGACCTGGACCCGCAAAAATGACGGCCGCGACGCCGTCTCGCGAACCGAAAACGGTCAAGTCCTTAATCGACGTGTCAGGGTAGAAGTTTATCCACCTCCGATTAGGCAAGGGGAAGAAAGACCTGGGAGGCAGAGGGGGTTCCGGGGAAGAGGTCCAGACATCTGGGGGCTCCACGCTCAAGGCCATTGGCGGCGCGCACCGGGGGGGGGGCTTCCAACCCTTCACCTCCATGCTCTAGATCTTCCGACCTGCGAAGCAAGTGCGGATAATGTTATCAAACACATCTTGGAAACCTCTTACGCGAATCAAAGAAACCCATACAGATCGTATCGGAAAAGAGGCGGAAGGGCGGGACGGGAGGTCTGAGCTCTGGAAGAATGAGTGGGCGGCGAGCGAGGGGGAAGCGAGAGGGATGAGGCCTTCTCAGAAGGCTCGGGAGTCCCCTGGCCTTCTGAGAATTTTCCTGAGCCTTCCCCGAGGACACAGAAAACCTCTCAGAAGGCCAGAGTGCTTCTGAAAGCCCCGCCGCCCTCTGAGAAGGCCTTCTCCTTCTCGCTCCCCCAACTAGCTCTCCGCCGAATCAGGGGGAGGGAGGGAGGTAGGCCGACGTCTCAGAGGCCCTCCCGCCTGCTTCGAAGAGAGCCCCCCTGGTCCCTTTCCGAGAACATTAGAGCAGGGACGGACCGTCCCGGCACCCCGGTGGGCCTACCACGAAATGATCTTGGAACCCAAACTCGGGAGCGGCCAAGAGGGGGGTGTCCCAGCGGGGGGGGTGCAAATCATGACTGGCGGCATGTGCGCGGCACAGGGAGGGGGCCGGGGACGGAATAGAATAAGAAGAGGCGCCATAAAATCTGGGGAAATATCAGGGCCCCCGCCATGATATCAACCTCCCCTTGTCATCACCCCCCTCTTTGCCGCCCCCGACAAACGTGTCCTAATAACAAAGATAATGCTCTCGGAACATAAACCCGAGGTGTTAAAACAAAACAGTCTCCGCAGGAAACGTTCTGAGAACATTTCGTGCAGACCACAAACGGTTATCAGAAGATTATCTAGTGGGCCTATCGGCGAGCCAGGACTGCTTGAAGCCTAGCCTTAGGTTGTTCCCATCGTACTCAAGGACCCCATCCCGGGAATCATTTCGAGAACCCTGTAAAGTGTCGAAACGGTGTCGAAACAGTGTCCGACGAGTGTCACCCAGGGCCCGACGCGTGAAAACCCTCGAGGTTGGGTACTTCTCCTTGGTGCTCGCAATTCTTCCTGGTGGTCCAGGCTAACGTCGGTTGGAACATCGCCAACCTGGCCCTCCGCTGCCCTCCGGAGGGGAGGGCCATGCGCCCCCTCGGCGCGCCGCCGGCGCGCACACCTGTCTGGGGGCCCGGGCGCGGGTGGCGGTGGGCAGCGGGCGTCCGGGGCCCCGCGTGCACGGGTCGGGGGCTTTGCTGGAGGTGCCCCTGGCCCAGGGCGACCCCTCGACCCTCCTCCTCGATCCATCCTCCTCCTCGATCCTGGATCCTCCCCCGTCGATCGATCCTCTCCCGTCTTGGTCATCGACCCGGATCCTCGATTCCCAGCCATCCCGCCTCCTCCTCCGAACCGCTCTCCTCCGCCTCCTCCGTCCCCGGTCCCCGTCCCTCCCCACCCTCGGGGGTTGCTGGAGGTGCCCCTGGCCCAAGGTGCCCCAAGCTTTTCCGCTCTCTTTTGGGGCCCCTGGTGGTGAACCACAGATGAAGGACCCCGAACTCGTTGGGAGGGGACCCAAATTAGGAAGGCCGGAAACATTAGGGATCGGTCAGTCTTTTTCCTGCAAGTGTGCCCAGCCAAGCCGACCAGATTTAGTATCCGTAATGCATGGACGGGGCCCTCGGTGAGGCCACGTCTTCATTCTGTTAGTAGACTCAGGGGTCTTTTGTCCTCGATGACCTGGGGCCCTCTGGGCTTCGTCAGGGATTCTCTGGAGGCCTTGGGGGCATCCTTGAAAATCCTGCGGGCACCGTGGGCCCTGGGACACTTCTGACAGCACTCAAATAGGGAATCTGCTATAGACCAGGACGTTGGAGCGCCCAAGGAAGCTGCTGCCGCGGCCGATGCTACTGCCGCGTTTTTTCGATTCGCATCGAAGACGAAAATGCACAGACATAAACTTTCGACAATCCGCGCGGGTTTCTTGAATCTGTGCTGGACCATCTGGCGGCGCCTCCAGCGCCGCCCTTAACGTGCTCCGCATGCGAGGAAGAGGGGATCCAGCGCAGGTCGATGAAATCCACGCGGACCGTCACAATGTATGTGGGTGGCGTTGCTTCTTCCTATATCTGGATCTGGCAAAGTCTTGGCTTGCAGGGTCCTGTCGGCGGCGAGCCCGGGGGAGAAGTGAGCAGGAGAAGGCCTTCTCAGAAGGCTCGGAAGCCCTCCCGCTTTCTGAGAAGTTTCCTGAGCCTTCCACGAAGACACAGCAAACCTCTCAGAAAGCGCAGGGGCTTCTGAGACGCCCCGCCACCTTCTGAAAGGCCTTCTCTCTCCTTCTCGATGCCCCCCCTTCGCTCGCCGCCGACCCCGGCTTCTGGGGCCCCGCGTCCCCCGAGGCCTCGTCTGGCGGCTCCACGTGCGCCGCCTGCAGGGCGTCCATTCGGAACAGCTCCCACCCGGCGAAGTGCTTGATGTACCTATGAAAGACGAATGGGAGGCAGAAGATCCACCCCCATCAGGATCACCCCGACACGCGAAGTCGTTGAGCAAACGCACCCACAGAAGGAATCGCACAGGGCAGGGCTGTCTAAAAAAACGCCCATGGCCGTTGAGTAAACGCAAAATGTCGGGTCCCGGTGGTCTTTCCTCCCGTGAGCGAGAAACGGCATAAACATAAACGTTTGGCGGTCCGCGCGGACTTCTTGGATCCGCGCTGGACCCTCCTCCCTGGCGCGCGGAGCGCGCCAGGGGCGGCGCAAGAGGCGCCGCCGGGGGGTCCCAGGGCGGATCCTGGAAGTTCCGCGCGGAGCGCCAGAAGTTTGTGTTTATGGCGTGTTTTCTGATGGTCCCGTTTTCCACCACCACCACCACCACCACAGGCTGGAGGGGGAGGGGGTCCTCCTCCTCCTCCTCCTCCTCCTCCTCCTCCTCCTCCTCCTCCTTCTCCCCTCCAACTTATGGTGGTGGTGGTGGTGGGCAACAGGTCCATCCTTTTCTTCTCCGAGCACCAGTCGTGGGACTCCTCGCGGGGGCTCTCGTAGTACCCCGTGCTCGGGACCTCCCACGCGGGCTCCGCGCCAGCCGCGCTGCTGGCCACGAGCAGCACGTTGCCGACGGCGTCGCCGCTCGGCTTGGGCTGCTCGGCCCGGGGGCCCAGGTCGGGGAACGCGCGTACCTGGAGACTCCACGCCGCGAACAGAAGCCCAGGTCGCGGGCGACCGATCACGACCGGGGCTGCTCGACCCCATCATCGCCATGAGTGGGACTCCCAGGGCCCGGATGGGCACGCGTCCGCGCCTCTCTCACGGGGACTCCATTGGCGGGCACTTTGGCCAGTGACCTGGCGAAGCCAACCCTGCCCGATGTGGGCAGCGCTGCAATGCCAGAAAGAGGCCCTAAAGCGGCAACCTTCGGCAACTCTCGGACGAAGCTGCACCCCTGCCTATCGCTGCCCCCGTGGACGCCCTATATAACCTTGGGTCGGGCATGTCCTCCTACAGGCGGGTTCTGGACGAAACATAATCCACAAATATGCAATTTAAAGAATCGTGCCCGGACTATTGTTTTGCATATTTTTGAATATTCCTCCTGCAGTGCCCGACTTACGATATTACCCCACGAGGGGGCGTAGCGGGCCCCTATGGAGGCCAGGCTCCTGCACGTGCCCCGCCGTTGGCTAGACCTCCGAGCGCTGAGCCGCCGCCCCGCACTGCCCACGGGGCCCCTCACCTCCTGATGAGCCGACTTCCCACCACCGCTGCCATAGGTAGGAGAGGGGGGAGGAGGAGGAGGAGGAGGAGGAGGAGGAGGAGGAGGAGGAGGAGGAGGAGGAGGAGGAGGAGGAGGAGGAGGAGGAGAAGGAGGAGGAGGAGGAGGAGGAGGAGGAGGAGGAGTGGGAGGAGGAGGAGGAGGAGGATGAGGAGAAGAAGGAGGAGGAGGAGGAGGAGAAGCTCCTCATCCTTGGTGGTGGTGGACAATCGGCCCATCACCCCCCCAGAAGGCACGGTCCCGAAGGCGGCGGCCAGCAGGCGCGCCATGGCCGCGACCAGCACGTGCGGGTGCGTGCGGTCCCCTGCCGGTCCCGGCCGGTGTGCCGCGACCATGTTGAAGAGCAGCACGCCGCGGCCGTCCTCGCGCAGCCACGCGTCGCGGAGCCGCGGACCACGCTGCCAGCGCGGGCCGTGGGCTTGGCAAGAGAGCCTAGAATCGAATCGATCAGTCGGATCGGCGATCGACATGAACCAGATCGGCAGAGTTCGGCAGCCAAGTCAGGAAAAGTCGAATCGGCGGAGGTCGGCAGGCCAGTGTGCTTCAAATGAGATATCGGAGCCCAAATCTGAATCCCAAGTCGAATCGGATAGGAATCTGAAGCCATCGAAGTCGAATCGAATCGAATCGTAGGAATCGAAACGAGCCCTGGCTTGGCGGGCGGCTGACCCCAGCATGCAACTCCGTCCAACTCCCCCTCTTCTGGGGGGGCGGGCTCGGACACCTGCCTGGATTATTGCCCCGTTCCACGGCGTGGCGCAACGAGGAGATGGAAAGGGAATGGGAGGAAGGACGGGGAACGGCAAGGGGGGGGTGGAGGAGAAGGGGGGTGGGCACGGAGGCAGAGGACAAACGAAGGAGGACAGGGCAAAGGAGGTCGAGGGGGGACAAGGCTGGAGAGGATCACTTTGATGCGGAGGGTAAGTCGGAGGACGAGTCGGAGCAGGAGGGCGACGCGGAGAAAGGCTGAAGATGATGGCGAGGAGGAAGAACGACGGGTAGGGGGGGGGTGCAAGGACGGCAATGGGGATATCATATGATGGGAAGAACCTATGGGTCAAATTGGGGACTTCGGAGATCCGCGGCGGCGGTCGCATGCGCTCCAGAAAGCCATCAGGTGCAGCCGGGTTAAACCCCATCCAAAGGTCGGACACAACCACGTCGTACCTGGCAGACAAATGAGAGAATATGCAAAGGAATAACAAATAAGAGGAAGAGGATAGCACGGAAATGTGAGGAATGAGAACATATAGGATGACGACTGACAAGACAGAAAGGACAAGGAGGACAAACATGAGGAAGATCCAAACAGTCCCATGTCCCCCTGCCACACAGCGTGGCCCAACCCAACGATATTACTCTTGCCGATAAAATTCGAGAAACAATCCGCCGGCCCCCTGGTGGGGCCACCAGGCTGCGAGGCACGGGTTCGCAGTTTCCAGTACCAGTTGTAGCTTGTAGTTTCCAGTGTTACAGTTCTGCTTCTTGCTGGTTACTGTAACTAGTTGATTGACCGCGCGAGGGGGGGGAGGCCCAAACGGGATTTTTAGCACCCCCTGGGCGCGTTGTCTGAATTGCTGGGGGGGCTCGAAATCGACACCCCTCACGCAGATCCGCGGGGTCAGGGTCCAAAAACACAGGGATTTGCCACATTTCTGAAATTCGGTGCCACCCCTCACGCAGATCCGCGGGGTCAGGGTCCAAAAACACAGGGATTTGCCACATTTCTGAAATTCGGTGCCACCCCTCACGCAGATCCGCGGGGTCAGGGTCCAAAAACACATGGGATTTGCCACATTTCTGAAATTCGGTGCCACCCCTCACGCAGATCCGCGGGGTCAGGGTCCAAAAACACATGGGATTTGCCACATTTCTGAAATTCGGTGCCACCCCTCACGCAGATCCGCGGGGTCAGGGTCCAAAAACACATGGGATTTGCCACATTTCTGAAATTCGGTGCCACCCCTCACGCAGATCCGCGGGGTCAGGGTCCAAAAACACAGGGGATTTGCCACATTTCTGAAATTCGGTGCCACCCCTCACGCAGATCCGCGGGGTCAGGGTCCAAAAACACATGGGATTTGCCACATTTCTGAAATTCGGTGCCACCCCTCACGCAGATCCGCGGGGTCAGGGTCCAAAAACACAGGGGATTTGCCACATTTCTGAAATTCGGTGCCACCCCTCACGCAGATCCGCGGGGTCAGGGTCCAAAAACACAGGGATTTGCCACATTTCTGAAATTCGGTGCCACCCTTCACGCACATCCATCGCAAGGCGTGGTAACCCAAACTGCGAGAACTCCCTCGGCCCTTTAATCGCAAGGTGTGGTAACCAAGCCCGTAAACCATACACGTCTTACCAATCGCCAGGTGTGGTAACCCCTCTTGTGATCAGTTGGTTTTGCTGATTGCGAATCGGCTTCGCATGAAGTTTCGATACTGCTTCACGACAGCGCCAAGACCTCATGACTTAGCTCTTCCATGGCCCATTCTCCGAGAGAGGGGGCCGGCGGCAGGGGGCGAAGCCCTTACGGATAAGTATGTAATCATGAAATGTTTGCAATCCGCGCGGACTTCTTGGATCGGCGCTGGACCCCCCTCCTTCGACGCCAAAAGGCGTCGCCGGGGGGCTCCAGCGCCGACCCGAGAAGTCCTCGCGGACCTCCGAGTTTGTATGTGTATGTCAGTCTTCGTTCTCCTAAATCGCGGTGACCGTCCAGAACAATTGGCCGTGCCCGTCTCTGCCCCCCGAGGAAGAACTCCGCTGTTTTTCTAGAGGGCAGAGGCCGCCCCTGCCGAGCAAACCACGGAGGCAACATACAAACCGCAGGCGCAGGGCCCGCGCCAGGCGCAGACGCTCTGCTGGGAGTGGGAGAGAGACCGCAGGCCAGTGGGACTCCGCGAGGGCGCGCACGAGCTGTGCCAGAAGTGGTGGGGTTTGCTTTCCACCGCCAGCGTCAGAAGTAGGAGGGGGAGGGGGTCCTCCTCCTCCTCCTCCTCGTCCTCCTCCTCTTCCTCCTCCTCCTCGTCCTCCTTCTCCTCCACCTCCTTCCCCCCTCCAACTTCTGGTGGTGGTGGAAAACAGGCACATCAAGAAGGAAGCGCGCTTGCAAATCATGCGTTCAAGCAGAACAAATAAGCAACATAACCATGCTGGATGAGATCGCAGGCCTGTGGGGATCCGCGAGGGCGCACGAGCTGTGCAAGAAGGAAGCGTGCTTGCAAATCATGCGCTCAATAGGGAACACACACAATGACCTGAACCTGGCGCGCGGAGCGCGCCAGGGGCGGCGCCGGAGGCGACGCCAGGCGGGTCCAGCGAGGATCCGAGAAATCCGCGCGGACCTCCGAGCGTTTATGTTTATGACATTCTTCGTTACCCTAAAACATACGTTCAAATAAACAAAACGTGCCGCAGAACCAACTATGCTTCACTTGAGTGTCGGATCGCTCAGCAGGCGTAGCCTGCGCGCCCCAAAACCCACCTGGCGGCTCGTCCGTATCCGCCCTTGGATTTGTTGCCTGGTCCTCCGCGGTTCCTTCTCCCGGCATGACGTAACTAGACAAGCAAGGTAGCAACTAGATTTCGTCGCTGTCATAATCGTTATCGGCATCATCGGTGCTATCATCGTTGTCATCATCGTTGTCGTCATCATTGTCATCGTTTTTGTCATCATTGTTATCGTCGTGATCGGTATCGTCATCATTGTTCTCGTCATGACGTAGCTAGACAAGCAAGGCAGCATGCACGCATGCACTCGCAACGCAACATGCCTTGTTATCCTTTGTGTACGGATCACCCCGCCACACTCTGGTCAGATGTGCCATGTCAATGTCAGCCAGCGTGGGCCCAAAACCCGTCGACCCGTCGGCGTGTGTGAGACGCTGTCGTCGTCTCCGTCGTCGTCGCCAGCCACAAGAAGATTGAGGCCCGACAGAGATCAACAAAAACGCGTCGAAATTGAGTAGATTCCGATTCCCACCCCTTTTTCCCTTACCTGACGGGTGAGGGGGGGAGGCTTGGGGAGGGGGTAGGCGGAGCGTTAGGAACCGGCCATGGTCCTGGCCCTGGCCCTGGCCCATCGGGCGCTACTGACCCGGGTCAATCCAGATGGGTCAGTCAGGTCTTGCAGGATCCGACAAGATCCTGCAGGATCCTGCGCCCAAGCCCGAGTCAGTGCGCCCATTGCCCTGCAAGATTCTGCGAGATCAGGCGCTCTGACTGACACCGTTTCCATCGACCCCCATCTCTCAAGTCCCGAGCCAGGAGGAGGGAGGAGGAGGAGGAGGAGGAGGAGGAGGAGGAGGAGGAAAAGGGAGGAGGAGGAGGAGGAAAGGAAGGAGGAGGAGAGGAAGGAGGAGGAAGAGGAGGAGGAGGAGGAGGAGGAGGAGGAGGAGGAGGAGGAGGAGGGAGGAGGAGGGAGGAGGAGGAGGGAGGAGGAGGGAGGAGGAGGAGGGAGGGAGGAGGGAGGAGGGAGGAGGGAGGAGGGAGGAGGGAGGGGAGGAGGGAGGAGGGAGGAGGAGGAGGAGGAGGAGGAGGAGAAAGAAAAAGAAGAAGACACCCCCGCGGTCGCGGGTCTCCCCCTCGGGGGCCGTCGCGCCCGAGCGCCCGCGGCCGCGGGCACTCAGCGCTCGGCGCTCGGCGCCTACGACTCGGCGGTAGTGCCCGCAGCCGCTGCGGCCTAACCCCTCGCCGCACAGGGGGCAGGGCGGCTCGGGCGGACCGCCCCAGCCTCCTCCGCGCCGCCCCTGGGTGACACCTCCAGGGCCACAGGCGCCGTGCAGGGAGTACTCCTCGCAGTACCCCACGTAGTAACGTCACCAGCTCCCAGCATCTCGACAGGCGCAGCCCGTGTCCGCTGCGGCCTAACCCCTCGCCGCGCAGGGGAAAGGCGGCTAGGGCAGATCGCCCCAGCCGCCTCCGCGCCGCCCCTGGGAGAAACATCCAGGGCCACAAGCGCTGCGCAGCTAGTACTCCGCGTAGTACCCCGCGTCGTAGCGCCAGTGGCACCCTGCGTCAGGTCGGCCTCTGCCAGCGGCCGCTGCGGCCTAACCCCTCGCCGCGCAGGGGATATGCGGCTAGGGAGGATCGCCCTAGCCGCCTCCGCGCCGCCCCTGGGAGACACGTCCAGGGCCACAGGCGCCGTGCAGGGCGTGCACCACGGAGTACCCCACGTCGTAGCGCCAGCATCCCCCTGAGCCACGTCGGGCTCTGCTCGCATCCACTGCGGCCTAACCCCTCGCCGCGCAGGGGAAGATTGGCTAGTGCATTTCGCCCCCGCCGCCTCCGCGCCGCCCCTGGGAGACGCATCCAGGGCCACTGGCGCCTCGTG